GTGACCCCGGAGCGAGGGGGTGGGCGAAGTGGCGTGACGGCAGGGACTGCCAACACTGCCTCGTGAGGCCCCTGTGCCCTCCGCCTGATGGCCGGGCGCCTTGCACAAGTGACTTGACTTCTCTGGGCCTCCACCCCGGCCACATGGGACAAGAACAGCTCCCACCGGATGAGGGTGCGGGGAGGAGGAGAGGGAGCTGTTTGTGAAGCTCTGGGAACCGCGCCTGTCTCTGGGGGCTGTTGGGTGGGACATTGGGCCATGTGCCCTGGAGTGTGGAAGACAGGAGCGTCCTGCAAATACAGCTTGGGCATCAGCCTGTCCTGTGGTCGACGGGCAGATTCAGGCCTAGGGAAAGGGATGGGGGGGAGGGGGGCGGGTAGCCTAGCAGACGTGCCCAGCGTTCCCTGGGAGACTTACCTGTTTATTATTTGGAAGAGTTTGCATCTCCTCCTTGGCTAAAAAAGGAGCAACACGCAGCCTGTCTGAGCCGCCTCAGTATCCGAGAGCTGCCACAAACAGGACTTTAAGTCACTGGTGATTCCGTCCCCGTTCATGGGTCTCTTTCTGCAAGCAGCGGCAATCGGGACAGGGATCCCTCTGCGTGACAAAAATGGCCGTATAATTGGATTTCATGGCGGGGTTGGGCTTTGCTGCTGCTAAAGATGGCCCTAGGGTGGCCCCTCCGTAGGGTCCCGGCCGCACAGCATTCTGGGAAGGCAGGCTGGGGCTCCCACCTGGAGATGGGCTTCCCCCCACAGAGGAGGAGTGGGGGAAGGAGAGGGGGGACATGGGAGTCAGGGGGTGAGAGTTGGAGGAAGGCCTGCCTTCCCCCCTTGGTCTTGGCTGAGCTTCTCCTTAGCTGTTAGCAAGGGCCTCCCCCACCACCCCAGCTTCTCTCCTTCTCTCCCTTCTCCCCCCCTCTCCAGCCCCCGTTCAGTGCGGGAAAACCCACACTTCCCTCCGTGCTCCCCGTAACCGCCTTCCTTACCGACTCAAACAAGCAGGGCTCTCCATTTGCTGCAGCTGGCAGATAATATATAAGCCATTTTAAACCTCATGCCTATGAATCGAGCAACCAGTATAATAAAACACCAGGTTATTTTGTGTTTTATTAACTGCCTCTTCCCTTCAGTTTGCATAATAGTGAGTTAGATTTACATGCCATTAAGACGGCGGTGCATTATTTTTAATAGAAGGTACGACAGGCTTCTCTCCCTCAGCCCAGAGTGTGGTGAAGTAAGCTCATATGATGCTGATGAAGGCTGCGTTCACACTCGCTGGGTCGGGGCAATGGCTTTTTTTCCAGATGGATACTCTGTTGTCAAATGATCGCCCGCCGCAGGCTCGCCTCTCTGTCCCTCTCTTCCGTGTCATCTTCCTACAAACGGGATAAACTGCCTATTAAATTTAATTACAGCCCGAATGGCCTCACGTCTTGCTCTTGTGTTCCCCTGAGTGTACTGTGCTCCACCAAGGTCCTTGAGGAAGGAATGAAATCAATCTGGAGGATGCGCGCCCACTTTCTGCCGGGGGGTGTTGCGGAAGGTAACGTCGGCGGCCACCTTTTGGAGGCCTTCTGAGGCGTCCCCACCCCCACCCCCAGCATTAAAAACGAAAGCTCGCTTTGTTGACGCTCTGGGCTGATTTTCACAGAGGTGAGGAACCCAAGATTGGGGTGCACGGCACCCTTCTCTGAACTGTTGACATTTGTCCAAGGCCTGAACACCAGGCCCAGGGGGCCTCCCCGTCCATCGGGGTGGTTCAGTTCTGCGTCCGGAGGCAGCGGCGGCCTCGTGACCAGGCCTAGACCCCCGCCCGGAGAGCCCCATCCTCAGAATTCTGGTCTTCCCGAGACCTGAAACTAGCAAGGATTTAGGGAAACTTCATTCCTCGCTGGTTCATTTAACGCGTACTTACTGAGCCTCTGTCTGCCGTGTACCGGGCAGTGCTGTAGACACTGAGGACAAAGCAGCGTGAAATGGGACAGGGAGACCCCGCGTACGTAAGTGAAGGCCAGTGTGTCAGGAGACAAGCACAGTAAACTTCGAGCAAGGTGGGGGGCACGGAGTGCCAGGTGGGGGGGTCCTGTAGTTTTCAGTAGAGGAGGCCAGAGTGGGGCTCAAGAGAGAGTGACGTGTTTGATCAAATACTTGGAGGAAGGAGGGAGTGCATCATGTGGGTAGCTGAGGGAACAGCAGTCCGGGGGGATGGAACACCCAGTGCAAAGACCCAGAGGCAGGCATATGCCCACCTGTTCAGGGTAAGCAAGAGACCCGTGAGGCTGGGTGGAGTGAGCTGAAGAATAGTGGGAGGACGGGAGGTCAGAGAGCAGGGCCCGGATCTGGGGAGGCCTTGCAGGCCAGTGACATGACTTTGGCTCTTGGGATGAAACGAGAAAGCAGTGGAGGTTCGGAGTAGTACATTGACTTGCTTTGACTTTTGTTTTCAAGGGATCCCTTTCGTTCCTTTGATCAGGACAGACTATAAGGCAGCCAGCGTGGAATGAGGGAAGCCAGGGAGGAGGCTGTTGTAGTGATCCAGGCAGGAGATTCTGCTCTGGAGATTAGAGAAGGAAAAGTAGAAGAAAACCAACCAACCGCTTTCTTGGGTGTGTGTCAGTGCGGTCCTAAGCAGAAGCTGAGACCTTCAGTAATTTCCGGCAAATCCTTAGTGGCGTTCTATTTCCTGTGTGTCCCCCGAGCATCCTCCTTACTGGCTAAACGAGGAAAGCCAGGTTGAGGCTCGTAACGGGCCATGGAGTGGGAACCAGTACGGGGACTTGGCTGGCCATGCTACCTCTGCTCCAGAGGACAGAGGAGAAGACGGTCATTGCCGCTGTCTGAACCCTCCGGCAGTGCCGTTGGCAGTTGGCACTGCTGAGGAAAGGGGCCCGACGCTGACCAAACCCCCCGGGACACGCCAGGCACCGCCTGCGCCCCCGGGACCCTGTGCGTCTCCCTGCAGCCTTGGAGGGAGGCTGTCCCTCCTTACCCCCGGGAAGACTGAGGCGTCGCTTCCGGAGGGCTCGCCTGTCGGGGATCAGGTAGACCTGGGAGCCACTTCCGGCCCCTCGTGGGCAAGTTAGCTCTCCTCTCTGAAAGGGCTTTCCCTGTCTCAGGATGACTCAGAGAACAGCCAGCCCCTCCTTGGCAGTGACCCGTGGGTGGTGGCTGAGGTTGGGCTTGGGGCCTGCCTGGATGGCTCACTGCGTTAGTCCCCAGAGCACCGGGCGCTTTTCTCACCCCACTGTCCAGCTACCAGGGAGGTACGTCGGTGTGCTCAGCAGTTACTTGACCCTAGCGTACAGGTGGATCGAGCATTGGCGGAACAGAGGGTGGGAGCAGAGAGAGAGATAGAATCTCTTGAGTGAGAAGGAGTAGAATAGATGGAGAATCCGGCGGCGTAGGTACTTGAGGTGGGACGACATCTATTCCCGTAGGGGGATGAAGGAGGAGCTTCCCCTGAGCTTCCTTGTGTGCAGCTCCCCCGGGCCAGACACCGGGGTCAGAATAGCTGCTGGGGGGGTGAGAAGGCCGGTCCCTCCCAGAAGGAGCAGCTGTGCCCACTCCTGGGCTCCCCTCAGGGGAGCTGTGTCCTGCCACCCAGCGTGTCCGAAACCCAGTGGTGGACCGAGGCGCCCGAGCGGCCTGTGACCCGTCCAGCACTGGCGTCACTTGAGAGAATACCAGTATGCTGCTGTTGTCAGTGTAGCGTTTTGTTTAATTACACCGTCCTTTCTTACCTCTTGTGCGAAAACCTCTTGCCCGGACGCCAATGCGAGGAAGTTGAACTTCGGTATAACGAGCATGTGATGGCTCCCAGCCCTATCTAACTTCCAGCTCCCAGCCTCATCCGCTGTCTCCAGTTCATGTGTTATCCAGAAGTCAGTTACGAATATGTTCTTTGGCCTGTGAATATGTTAATGTTCTGCCACCTAGAAGGAAGCGGTAGAACTACCACCAACAAGCGTAGCAGCCATTTTTTAGATTGCATTAGTAACCAGCATCCTTTCATGAGTAACATCTCACTGAGTAGTCTCACATTCCCATTCTTGCGATGGGTGTCCGTGTGTTTAGCTTATTCGAATCAGAATTCAGCTAAGGTCTATACGTTACAATTGATAAGCCTCCTTGTTTGTTTTTTGTTTTTTGGTTTTTTTTTTTAGTCCCCTCCTGTGCCTCTGTCGCTACCTAGCCCCTGGACCCCGGTGGTCTTCTCTCTCCCTTATAGTGCTGCTGTTCTCAGAATGTCCTGCAGGTGGACTCCTTCTGCGTGCAGGTTCTTGTGTCTGCCTTCTTCACCTGGCCGATGCTTCTGAGGCTCATCTGTGCTTGCGGGCTGTGTGGGTGCTCCCTTTGTTGTTCCCACAGGCCAGAGCGGGTGTGCCGTGATTTGCCCATTTGCCGGTCCATCGGCGCCTAAGTCGCGTTGCTTCTAGTCTGCAGCTTTCTCTCTCCGTTTCTTTTGATCCCCTCGCAGTGTATTTGTTGAAGAAACCAATTCGTTGCTTTGACAGAGTCTCTAGCATTCTGGGTGGTGACAGTCGCGTCCCACATAGCGGAACTTAGCACATTCCTCTGCCTCCTGGATTTCCTGCGGTTCCGTGGAGAGGTCCACTCAGATGCTGGCGCGACTGTTTCATAGATGGCGGGTGTGCGATTCCATGACGGATTGCCTCCTTGGTCAATGCCTCGAGCCCGTAATTCATCAGGGTTCTGAAACGGTGCATCTTTATTCCATCATTCGTTCACTTCTTAGCTCGTTCCTAATTCACTTTACTTATTTTTTCATTTCTGTATCTGTCATCTGATGATCCGTTGGGGCAGGGATACGGTATTGAGCATTTGAAAAAGCATCCTAGCCAAACGCAGCCACCCCAACAGGAAGCTCCCTGGTCAAGACTGAAACATCAGTGCATTAATCGGAAATATGCTGCGTTCCTTGCCTTCTGTTGAGCTTTCCAGAAACTCCCCTGACAGTGTTTTTTCCTTCCCTCTTAGAACTCCAGTGCTGACCATCGAGTCCGACTGGACCTGGGTCTCTGGGACAAATTCAGTGAATTGGCCACCAAGTGCATTATTAAGATTGTGGAGTTTGCTAAACGTCTGCCCGGCTTCACCGGCTTGACCATTGCAGACCAAATCACCCTGCTGAAGGCCGCCTGCCTGGACATTCTGGTATGTGCCCTTCTGAACTCTTAGGCGGGGGTTGGGTGGGGGGAGGAGGGGACAGCGATGCTCTGAAGACCTGCAGAGGCTTTGGTTCTCCAGCCTCTCCTCCTGCCACTCCCATTGCACACTGAGCCCCGTCCTTCCTACCTGAATCTCAGTTCCACTCCTGAAAGCTCAGAGACCCCCTCCCCTCCCCAGAGTTGGGCAGAACCTCCTACCTTCTCGACCCTGGTGTGGGAGCCCCCACTGCACGATCTTGGGGAAGGACCCAGCCTGGCTCGGTCACAGGCTTGCTTGCTCCCCCAAAGCCCCTTCCGTGGGCCAGTCCTATAGATCTTTCAAAGGCCGTCACACTTCCCGAAGCCAGAGCGACAGGAGGTGGCACATAGCACCCTAGTTCTACCCTCTGATCTTAAACCACCTGTCAGTGGCCTTGGGAAAATCCCTTCCTTCCATAGGCCTCAGTGTCCCCATCTGTGCAAAGGGAATGGATTCCTGGTGCCTCTCTCCCTCTGCCGTTCTCACACCGTAGCTTCTAGGGCCCTAGAGAGGGTAATGACGACTGTCATACCTTGCCCCTTGTGGGTCTACTGGCTGGATACCTACCCTCTCTCTTCCTGATAGGGGCATCAAGGATGATATGATTCATTCTGGCTGGGTTGGTTTTCTTGGGCAGGGAAGCAGCTCTCATTGGAGGGGACGGGGGTCTGTCCCGCCTGCGGGGGGTGGTATAGGCTGATGGGCCTCTGGAGGAAGTGGGAGGGGAAGCTGGCCTGCGGGGATGCTTCAGAAAATAGAGAAAGTAAAATTAGCTTTCAAAGTGCTTTAAAAGCATAGATTTTTCTTTTTATTACATCTTTCATAGCTTTGGGTATAAACAGTTCTGCAAAGCAAATATAGTTACTCACTGTAATTAAACACACAGTCTTGCTCAGGAGGAGAGAAGACCTCCGTGTGAGGCAGTCGTGCAGGAAGCACGAATGTTTATGTGTCTTTCCACTTACTGGTTGGATCTTAGGAGGAGTGGTAATGGTTACTCGATAAGCTACAAGTTCCAGGGATCCTGAGAGTATGTGTGGTATCTCTTCATCTTATAGCGTCAGAGGGTCTGGGACGAACGTAGGGACGTTCAGGAAAAAATGAAACATCAGAGCAGCGTTCACCTGTCACCTACCCACACCCCACAGAGTCTGCAAACCTCAGCTCCTTGGAGCCTCACACACCTCAGTGAGCCTGGCTGGGGATGGCGATTCATCCCATTTTACAGATAAGGAGCTGGAGACTAGGTGAGTCACCAGGGTCAGGTGATTGCTGGAACCACACCCAAGACCCACATCTTTGGACTCCAAAGCCATGAGAGGATTAGAAGCATAGCCAGGGAGTGGTGTTAGGCGGGCCCTGGGCAGAGAACCAGCCAGACCACCAGGGAATAGCAGAAGCCACTTGAGCAAATCAGTAACGAGGTTAGTAAGGAGCTATTGGAATAATTAACAACAAAGCCTGGGCTTTCTTATCCTTTCCTCACGAGTGCTTAAAGTGTAGCTCTCAGGAGAATGTCACCTAAGCCTCAGGACACCCCCGCGATATTAGTAGAGACTGGAGTCACCAGCGCATGGGGAGAGGTGCCCCAAAGGCCTCGAGTCGCCGAGGGACCTGTGAGGTGGCATGCAGCAGGTCGGTGTCTGCACCAGGGCATGTGGTGCAATTCTGACTCCCTGCATCACACGGCCACCCAGCAGGGCCCAGAGCCTTCCTGATGCTTGGGCTCTGACTTCGGTTCTTTGCTTGTTTCTCAGTCCTCCTCTTGTCTGGCTGCCAGGTGGTGATGGTTTGTGGTTCCTTCAACTCTAGCCCTTTGGGAAAGAAGGAATGAGAAGGATACTTTGAGATCCTCCAGTGGAGCATTTGTTTCTACAACACCCTATGCCTAATGGTTCACGGTGCTTAGATCCCTCCTTAAAATCCCTATCCAACCTCCCGTGGCCATCTTCCCACATCCCACCTTTATAATGAAAACTAAGCACTCCTCTGGTTTGCCTGTACGTCCAAGAATCGGCCCTTAGCCCCTTGGTGGAAACAGGTAGAACAGGAACCAGTTCCTTTTTTTTTTTTTTTAAGTTTATTTATTTTGAGAGAGAGAGAGAGAGAGAGAGAATCCCAAGCAGGCTCCACACTGTCAACAGAGCCTGATGTGGGGCTCGAACCCACGAACTGTGAGATCATGACCTGAGCCGAAATCAAGAGTTGGATGTTCAACCAACTGAGCCACCCAGGCTCCCCCAGGAACTAATTTCGATGACCTTCGTCAAGTTATTTAACCTCTCCCAGCCTCCATTTACCTAGCAGTACAAATCGATAAGGTGTTAACTAAAATAAAAGTAATTCTTTGCATGGGCTTAAGTACAGACATGAATATAAACGTGGAACATGTAGTAGATCCTCAGTTGGTGGCGTTGAAATCAGGGACAAAGCTGTCATAAGGACATGGGGGCAATTTCAGCCCCTGTGGCCACGAGTCGGGAAACTGTCAACCACTCCTTCTTGGCTCCACAGGCTTGAGGGGGGTTGGGGTTGGCACAGAGCAGCCACAGGAGGAGAAAACTCTACCCGGGGAAGGGGCAGAGACCTCCAGTCATATGAGATGAAGCAGAAGGGGTACTTATTTGGCCCCAGACAAGAGCTCATTTCCAAGAATTTGTAGCAAAGGCAATTAATCATGAGAGCCTGAAAAATGCACAACTTCAAAGAGCATCTTTCGGATGAGAATCTTCTCAACTAGCTGAGCCATTTAGAAGAATCTTCTTATCTAAGCCATTGATGTCTGGAGAGAGTGAGACAGAAAGACCAGGAGGACACACGGACAGAGACAGGCTGAAGCTGTTGTCAGCCCCTAGAAAGGAAAGTCACGGTTGTCCCGACGCTGTCACGGCCACCAGCGCATCGTGTTGTGTTTGGTCCGAGACGGGCCTCTGTGTCTGAGCGCGGGGCCGCCTGCCGGGGCCGGCGCTGTGCTGGGAAATCACAGGCCGCGCGGGACGTGGTTTGCTTTACAGTCACGAGGGGGGAGCCCCTCAGGAAGGAGGTCCAAGGACAAAGAGTGCCCGAAGCCCGTCCGGCCTGCGCCCCCTGCCACACTGCCCTCTAGAGGGATTTCCTGTCCCAGCGTCTGCCTGTTGGGGGGGGACCCTTTGCTGTGGGGACCACAGCCAGGCTTCCCTCAGGGTTGAGCCCTGCTCTGAGCCTCCTGATTTCCCACAGGGGTCAAGAAGCCGAAAGGTCTCTCCTAAGATGGGCCAAACTTCGAAACCCTTGTGGATAGAAGTTCACCTTCCTTTTCTCGCCCCAGAGTTGTGGCATTCTAAGTTTGTGTTCAGGACAAGAAAGGGAGGCCCGGAGGAGTCCCCTCGCCTGAGTTCTTGCTCACGTTTTCCTTCTTGCTCACTCTCCTTTATCTTTCCTGTCCTGTTTCTTCTCCTCCTCCCTCTAAACTGCCTCTTCTCTGCAGGTAATTGGGGTCAAGTCTCTGTCAACCTAAAAATCGTAAGAAACAACCTTTGAGGCCATCTGGCCTTCACGTTGCTCGCCTCTGCTCCTCCCGGCTGACCTCCTTCCCTCTCTCCCTTTTACAGATACTCACTGAGGCCCTGCTGTGTGCCAGGCAGTGTTCTAGGCTCGATGCCACAGCAGTGAACAGGACAGACAAAAATCCCTCCCCTCATGGAGCTGACCTTCTGTTGGGAGTAGACGGACAGTAAATGAATAGGCAGGGTCTTACGGGGCCACAGAGAAAAAAAGAGGAGCAGGATCGAGGCCAGGAACGTGTCTGCGGTGGACCGGGCTTGATTTCTATGGTGTGGTTAGGGAAGAAGATGACCCTTAACGAAGGGATAGAAAGAGCTGGAACAGTAAAAGACACCAGTCAGAGACATGTGCAAATGAGGGGTCCTGGGGAGTGTAGTTGAAAGGCCCTGGGGCAGGGAGGCCCTGGCAAGCTGAGGAGCGGTGAGGAGGTGAATGTGCCGGGAGGTGAGCGACAGGGCTGGGCCTGAGAGGAAGCGAGCACAAGATGGCCGGTACATTTTCATCCTCGCTGTTAGGAGTCACCACCAGCTTTGGCTGAGGTGTGCCACCGTCCAGCTCTTGTTTCCACCCTTCACTGGTCTCTTCGTGCAGCGCGAGGGAAGAAGTCACACCCACAGTTGTCGGGCACTTCCTGTGTGATGTACCTACCTGGGGGATTTGATGGTGGGGAAGAGAGGCGAGCCCTTGCCCTTCCAGAGTTCGTGGTCTGGCCCTGCCACCCTCCCTGGGGAGCTCCCGCCTTTACTACAGACTCGTCTCCCAGGCGCCAACATGGCCCCACAGCCACCCAGCTCCCCCTTGGCCTGCCCCAGCTGCTGACGGTAGTAGTTACAAGTGTGGGCTCTGAAGCCGGTCTGTCCGGGTTCCAAATCTGGGGCTGCTGCTTATCTGCTGTGTGACCTTGGGAAAACCACTCCCCGTCTCTGAGCCTCGGGCGATAGAATAGAAGCCGCCTTTTAGGGACTGGAGAGAATGAAATAAGGGGCTTGGACAGTGTCTGGAACACCGTAGGCTTCAGTCACCTCACACTGTATTGAGCCTCACTACACCCTCCGGGGGATTTTTGGTCTCATCTCCAGTTTGCAGATGAGGCAGCCATAGCTCAAATGGAAGCCGGAGGCCCGTAGGGCCCCGGCAGGCGTTCCTTCTCTCTAGATACTATCCCACCACTTTCTTCTTGGCCAGCCCCTCCGCTCAGCCGAGATGCCCCCTCCTCAGAAAAGGTTTTCCTGACCAGCCGCCCAGTTCCTACCCGCTCCCCACTGGTCTCTCTCGTAATTAGAGACGTGTTCCGCAGCGTCTTGTACGCCTGCTTGTCGGCTCGGGGAGGGCAGGGGCCGCGTTGGGGTTGGTCCCTGGAGCAGGCTTTCAGGCACACTGGAGGCATTCGTTGAGGACTCGGGAATGAACGGTGTGCAGATGAA